AGATTCCAACTATAAGGAACCCCCCCCCAGTGGCACAGCGGTATGTCTGCGGACTTACAACACTAGATTCCAACTATAAGGAACCTTCCCCCAGTGGCACAGCGGTATGTCTGCGGACTTACAACATTAGATTCCAACTATAATGGTGTTACATTCAAGAGGAAGAAATAAATATGTCATCCATAAAAATTTCTACAATTGATTTGTTAATTTTTCTTAAGGTTATTAACTGCGTAATAGCGAAAGAATACACTAACTGCAAGTGACTTAAACAGCATGGGAGGTTTGTATTCTAGTTTGGTTTATCAACTGCTTCATAAAGATATCAAATGTGGTTTATTTCTTTTTCTAAAATCTTTTAACTTCACACAACTTACAAAAATAAAATCACGAGAATATGATATCCCTTTTAGAACCACATTTTTTTTTTTTACAGACGCTACGTTAGCGAACGCTGTGTTGATTTCAAAATTCCGAACACCCGTAGGAATAACATTAGGTAATATATTGCCGTTTGTAGGTCCTAATATTTTCAAAATTTAACTTATTATGTATTTTTTTTTTTTTGGTAGCTTATGATACTTTGACCTTCGAATAAGGTGTTAGAGTTATTAACAAACTTTATTTGATTCTTTGTTGAAGTTGGAGACACTATTTTATACTTCTGATTGAAGCATACCTTAAGACCATAACTCTTAGATATCTCTGATTTTTTGATAATTCAACAGATTTAGGCTTATAAGTTTTCCAACCAATGGATGCTTTAAACTTCCACACTTTAAACATTTTGTGTCTTGCTTTATATGTAAGACTCCCGTTTAGGCCATGTGGTTAGCAGTGAAAGACTAGAGAGAAGGGAGCTATTCATCACTACCCACGACCAACTCTTGGGCTACTTTTTTTTACCAACGAATAGTGGGATTGATCGTCACGTGGGGGCGTTGTAATGTGACGGTCAATCCCACTATTCGTTGGTAAAAGAGTAGCCCAAGAGTTGGCGGTGGGTGGTGATGACTAGCTCTAGTCTTACACTGCTAAATTAGGGACGGCTAGCGCAGATAGCCCTCGCGTAGCTTTGCGCGAAATTCATAACAAATTCAAATTCACACTATATAAGATTCGGTGCCAGCAACTTATGATAGCAATGATAATTTTATGAAAAGTCGTGAGAGAATTTGTTTTATTTTTGGTTCCCTTTGAATACAATGTCAGTTACAATTCACTGTTAAAATATATCTAACATTTGTATGTAATTTAATTACTGAGACAGATTGAAAGATTGCAGTTAGTGTCACTTTTAAATTCTCTAGACAAATCGTTTTTCCATTCCAAAATATTGCATGTTTGTTTCGTAAAAATATATTGCTTTTATTTTTGAATAATTAAGTAAATGATCGGATCATTTAATAATTGCATGTATAATTGTTTCTACAGTTTGTGTGAGAGGGTTAAGCGTTATTCGTGTACGTTCGATAGTTACTGGCAATATACGTTTTGTTAACTTATTGTGGAGCGTTTACGACATTACGTTACTTGATTTTAAGCACGTTTGTACTGATCGTGAATTTTGTTAATTATTAATGTGCACAACAAGAATATTTTTTTTTATGATATAAGCGATTAATCTTGTTCTTCTGTTTACGTCTCTTACAGAGGTGATACGATATCGTCGGAAGAGCATTTATTATATACAATAATTCGGAAATTTTATTTATAGATAATTAATTAAACACAACAAAAAATTATTGGGACAAGTTGAAAGTTTACAATTCATATTTAGTTTTACATTTCGTAGATAAATGGTCCATATATTCTTAAATATTAGAAGTCGTTCCTTTTTTTTTAAATGTATGTTTAAAATAGATACGAATAAGACCAAGTGATTTAAATTTTTTGTCTTTTTTTTATACAACTGTTTTTCAGTTTAATGTGTGGGGTTATGAATTTTTTTTCCATAAGCATAATTCTTGTATGTATGGAAATAATACGTTCATTATACTATTATAAAATACACGAACTGTTTATAAGATACACGAACTGTTTATAAGATATACGAACTGTTTATAATATACACGAACTGTTTATAGGATACACGAACTGTTTATAATATACACGAACTGTTTATAAGATACACGAACTGTTTATAGGATACACGAACTGTTTATAAAATACACGAACTGTTTATAAGATACACGAACTGTTTATAAGATACACGAACTGTTTATAGGATACACGAACTGTTTATAAGATACACGAACTGTTTATAAGATATACGAACTGTTTATAATATACACGAACTGTTTATAAGATACACGAACTGTTTATAAAATACACGAACTGTTTATAAAATACACGAACTGTTTATAAGATACACGAACTGTTTATAAAATACACGAACTGTTTATAAGATACACGAACTGTTTATAAAATACACGAACTGTTTATAAGATACACGAACTGTTTATAAGATATACGAACTGTTTAATAAAATACACGAACTGTTTATAAGATACACGAACTGTTTATAAGATACACGAACTGTTTATAAAATACACGAACTGTTTATAAGATACACGAACTGTTTATAAGACATACGAACTGTTTAATAAAATACACGAACTGTTTATAAGATACACGAACTGTTTATAAGATATACGAACTGTTTAATAAAATACACGAACTGCTTATAAGTGAGCTGCGCCATATCGATACGGACACCACTCGGGCAACCCCAAATTTGACTTGTTAGCTCCGAAACTGTAAGTTGAATTTGCGGACAATCAAACAAGTTATATACACGAAATGTTTTGTTAACTTGATCTGTGCAACGTATAAGATGTGGAATACCTAGTTTTAAATATATTGACATGAACTGCTAATGACTATTGAGTGGAACACGAGAAGTAATTTTATTAAGGTGATCAATTTTCATTGAAGAAACTCAGTTTTGGTTAAAGATTCATGGTCAACTCTGAAGGAGTTTCTTTCTTTTCATAACCTCCAAAATCACAATTCATGTAATTTTCCTTACTTCTACGACAATATTTTTTAGGAAGTAACTTTGATATGCCATTATGTTTATGAAACAATTTAAGGATCTTTGTGATCTGCGTGTTTTGATTTTATTACTAGCATTTTTTTTAACACTTTATTAATTGCTTGGCATTTATTTTATAGAATAAAAAAAAAAGAGTTGTTTCAATTGTTTTTGTTTGTTTTCTTCACATAAATATGTAAATTCTGGAGTCTTTTATTAATTTTCACTGTGTAAAAGCTCTTGACTTGGGAAGCTGATTGGTGAAAACATTTTTTTCTGCCAAACATAATTCTCCAAACAATTAGGGGCCCGGCATGGCCAGGTGGTTAAGGCGCTCGACTCGCAATCTGCGGGTCGCGGGTTCGAATCCCCGTCCCACCAAACATGCTCGCCCTTTCAGCCGTGGGGGCGTTACAATGTGACGATCAATCCCACTATTCGTTGGTAAAAGAGTAGCCCAAGAGTTGGCGGTGGGTGGGGATGACTAGTTCTAATCTTACACTGCTAAATTAGGGACGGCTAGCGCAGATAGCCCTCGTGTAGCTTTGCGCGAAATTCAAAACAAACAAACCAAACAATTAAAAGGCATTCAACTCAATTCCCGAAACACTTGGGGCGTTTACATTCCTTTCTATACATTCATTTGTATTTCTTTTTAAAAATATAAAACTAGTTTTAAGTATGGCTACGAATGCACATGTCCCATTAACTTCGTAAATTTAATTTGCACTTAAGAATTTGTTCCTTAGAATACAGTGACACTATAGCAATAAAATTGTTTTGGAATATAGACATATGGAATTAGAGGAGTCTCGTGTACACTCGTGTGATTTAAATGAAATACTACAATAAATCTGTTAGTTGTCGATATTAGGAAAACAAGATGTAATATACTTTTAACCACGGAATTTTCTAGACGACTTGATAACGTTCAGTAACAAGCTTAAGCCTAACAACGCACAGTTAAAATGATATACGTGTAGTAAGTAACCTTTATGATATCACTTTTCTCAGTGAAGTGTTTGTTCTAGATACACCAGGTAAGATATTACATCATCGTCAGGCGTAAGTACCGATGGAAGTAGACCATTGAAATATGGTGAATTGTGTTTCGATACTGTTTTACTAGTCGTCTTTTTATTCTTTTGTAATCACGAGGTCAAAAACAGGAGAGGCTACAGTGAAGAACTATGCACGTTAACATGTATTTTTAAAAATGTTTGGAAAATGTGTATCTTCTGCGAAAAAGGGGGAGGTCAGATATGCTGATGGAACTATTTATAATATCATTAATGAGAGTAATAAAATCAACTCCAGAAACACAAGCCTGATGATTTCGGGCAAAAGCTTCTGGCAAAGATCTAAGTAAAAATACAAATAAATATTTCCTTCGCATTAAAGGCTGATGATCAAGAAAAATGTAAACTGTTGTAAAATGATCCGGTGCCTGGATCAGCTAGTGTTGGTATTCCGCGTGAAATTCAGTACTCCTTTCAAGATGGCGGCAGAAGCCATCTTCAAGACTAGTAAAACTAAACCGTAGCTGTCGTTTGTCTTGCGGGAGGAATATACAAAACTCATATCCAGAAAGAATCACGACGTTTATCATATCTAATGACGATCACAGTTAATCTCTAACTAGTGGTTAGCGTGAATCGAGGGTTTAAAGTTCGCGTCCCGTTATCACAAAAAATGCACTTTAGGGCTGTGAGGGCGTTTTACGAGTGACAGTTAAATCCAAGTATTTGGTCAAACACGAGCAATGCAAGAGTTGGCGGTGGGTGTTTATTGAATAGCTGCTTTTCTTTTAGTATGTCAGCTCAGAATTAAAGACGGGTAAGTATAGCTATGGGTAGCTTTGCGCAAAAAATCTTACCAAAAAGGCCTAGGAAACTCGAAAAGTATGCATAATATAATCTACAAAACTCGAGATGACTAAGTGGCTTA